GGCAGATAAATAGGAGGTACAAAGGTGAGCACTCCAGGGCTTTAACCAACGTTCAGGGGACAGCTTGCCCTGCATCCATCTGTCAGGAGACTCCGGCAAGGGGGCGCAGAGCTGGACTACAATCTGAAACTCAGACTCAGACTGTGAAGTGAGCCGCGGGCTCCGGCCAGGGCAGCCGTCGGCCCATAGGTCATCCAACAGCATTTATATGTCAAAATCCGAAGAAAGAGACTGCTTTTAACCTTGGTAGCTAATTTTGATGCTTTGGAACCTGCAACCCCCATCACTATCACCTTCCCCCAGGTGGCTGGGAGGTTAACGGTTGAAAAATTGCCTCCACCCTTCGCTGAGGGAAACAGATGGGAGGACGAGCGTGCCTGGGGAACTTGTGTGTGCTCACTATCAAGTGCAGGGAATTCGTTTGGGCCAGACTGCGGCAGGAGGGCAAATTGGGAAAGAGGGATGGGAGGCGGCGGGGTGCTGCGGAAACGCACAGCGAGGCTCCGGGGCTGGAGGTCCCCTGTGCAGAGCATCTTCCGTGGAAACCCGCATCCAGATCACCATCAATCTCTTCTCTGCCGGGGCAGTGCTTGAATTTGACCCAGCGGCTGCCTGCAAAGGGTGCAGAGGGCCTGGAGGGTACTCATCCTTTGTATCCACTACTGGGAGTCCTCCTGCCCAAGGTTCAGGGGAGTCCAGTTGCGAAAGCCTCTTGGTCAGCATCTGCTATTCAGCTCCCACTCCGGGAGGAGGAGGCATCCCCGGCTCCGCTGGTTCGATTGTGCTGAAGTGAGAATTGGAGCTACTGGCAGCTTCGGGATCTTTCTCACAACACACTTTCAGCAGGCTCCGAGCTGCCAGTGCTATGCAGAGGGAGCCTCACGCTATTCGGCAGTGGTGTCTCCTTGCAAGAGGCAGGGTGTCCCCAAAGGAAGCTGAAGGTGGTTGGGGGCTGGGAAAGAAACCAGCAGGACACAGGCCCATGCTGGCTGTTTGACACGGCTATCTTTCCCTTCAGCTCCTGTGTGTGGTATTTTTATTTCTTAATAGCTTTATGTTGGTCACATTTCTTATCTCTTGGTGTCTCCTGACACACCTTGCAGTGTTGGCAAGGCAGCAACAATCTTCTGTGGTTATAGAGGAAGTAGAAACTGAGAAATGGCTTGTTTAGAGTCACCAAATCTATTTGTGGTTTGAACAAAGCTATTGGTGCTAGTTTCTAGATCTTACTACCTATTCTCTCCTTCCCCCATTAGACTGTGGCATCACCTCCCATGTCATTGTACATTTGTGGAAATCTAGACACAGATCTTCTTGCCAAAAGTTTGTGAAATGGGTCCTTTTGCCACTACTTTGCATGGGGGTTGAAAGAAACTCATACTACATGTTTGGTGCCCAGATCACTAAACATGATTTTAAAGGACACATAGGCACACCTTCATGTATGCCTGTGCACCCCTCAAGTGGAGAATAGATGGTCTATATTTTCCATAGATAAGATAAGGTAGTGGCAACTTAAAAGACAGAAGTCATACAGACTACATCCCTAATCAAAATATAAGGATAATATTGGTCAAAAAAAATCCCCTTACTTGAGATACAGTTGAAAATTTAGGGATGTTAAAATCTGGATTACACTCTCTGGTGCAGTGGTACACAGCTGTAATTTCAGCCTTGGGAGGTGGAGGAAGGAGAATCAGGAGTTTAAGGTCATCTTCAGCTGCCTAGCAAGTTTAAGGCCAGTCTGGGCTATGTGAGACTCTGTCTCATTAAAAAAAAAAAAAAAAAAAAAAAAAAAAAAAACAACAACAAACAGACAAACAAAAAAACAGAAAAGAAAAGAAAAAAGAAAGAAAACCAAGCAACTAAACAATAATAATAACAAATAAATAAATTTGGGTTAAAGCAATCTACAAATGGAGAAATTACAAACTTTTTTAAAGAATTATTTTAATTGTGTCAATTTAAAAGATATATATTTGGTCCATATATACACTGTGTAAACATCTAATCAGGACAGTTAACATTTCCATTTCCTTAAATTAAAAAAATAATCTTTTATTAACATGAAATAATTGTATTTATAAGGTACAGTATGATAAGAAATGGCAAAGTCTTGGGGCTGGGGAGACAGTTCAGTCAGTAAGTGCTTGTTACACAAGCATGAGGACCTGAGGTCAGATTTGCAGCACCTTCTTACAAAGCAGGGCACTTGGAATCCCAGTGTTGGGTGGAAGAGGGAGGAGGAGCTGCAGGGGGCTTGCTGGCTAGCAGGTCTCAGGTGGTGAGCTCCAGTTTCAATGAAGACTGTCTCAAAAAGCAAGGTGGAGGGGCTGGAGAGATGGCTCAGCAGTTAAGAACACTGATTGTTCTTGCAGAAGACCTGGGTTCGAATCCCAGCACTCACATGGCAGCTGTCTATAACTCCAGTCCCAGGGGATCTGACAGCCTCTTTTGACCTCTGCAGGCATTGCACAACACAAGTGCACTTACCTACATGCAGGCAATACATGCATACACATAAAATAAAAATAATAAATAAAATAATAAAAAAAAGCAAGGTGGAGGTAGAAGAAAACACCTGGTGTCACCCTCATCCCTCCACATGAATGTGAGTGCACACACACACACACACACACACACATACACACAGAGGGCAAACTTTTTAGGAACAGAAGAAATACGAAAGCTCTACATGACAAAATTAGGATAATATAGAAAAACTAAACCCATAAAATAGTAGGACATTGGATATACTTATCCCCAAACAATGTACAGACTTAGGAAAAACTGGGGGAGATGATGGTAAGTACAGAGCAAAGCAAGGACTAGTGGAATAGAGAATTTAAAAAATCATGAGATTTTGCCAAAAAGTGAAAGAATGAACTTTCTGAACTGATCAGCAACAAACCAAGAAAACGAGAAAGAGACAGAAATGAAAATAGTAAGGAGAGATGACATGACAAGTGGTGGGCTTATTAAAAGAATGAAACCAGCCACTGGTTTTTGACCCATGAAGAGAGTTCTCCCTTCGTGCTAGTTACCAGAAGGCATGAGATAACCAGTACCTAACACCAAGGCTTATGCAGAGGAACATGAGATTTGAAGAACAAGGCAAAATTATTGACAATATGGTAGTTTAAGAAGATAAAGCAGTGCGGGGCTGAAGAGATGGCTCAGCGGTTAAGAGCACTGACTGCTCTTGCAGAGGACCTGGGTTTGATTCCCAGCACCAACATGGCAGCTACAAACTGTCCTTAACTCCAGTTCCAGGGGAATCCAACACCCTCTTCTGACCTCTGAGGCATTGCATATCATGGGTGCACTCACATACATGCAGGCAACACACTCATACACATAAAAATGCTAAATAAAATATATTAAAAAGTGTATAAAGCAGTGTTACAGCAACTGAGAATTTTTCTTTTTAAAAGTACACTTCGTGTGTGTGTGTGTGTGTGTGTGTGTGTTTGCTCATGCCATGACATAAGTATGGAGGTCAGAGGTATCGAACATAGGTCATCAGGCTCAGCAGCAAGTGTTTTTAGCTGTGGAGCCATCTTGCTGAACGTCAAATGAACATTATGAGTCAACCCTTTTGTCATCATATGGAGTAGCTGTTGTAGAATAACCAAATAATCTATACTATTGAAGTAGAAAACCTTAGAAAGTCATAAGCAATGGAAAGAGACTCTCTCAGATAACCTTTGAGACTTAGGGATAGATATTACAGAGAGGGATATTTCACAAAGGTATTTTAATATTCTTTAGCATATCTTCGGAGTTCAGAGTTCCAGGAAGGAAGGGGCAGTGATATGAGAATTCACTTGAAATAACCCATACTCAGGCACTAATCCTACATAAGGTGATCTTACTGCCAGGCAGCAAAGTTCAGTGATGAAATGTACATTTTCTTAAGCTTTAAGATCTGGCATGGTGAAAGAATTATGGGCTTTTTCAGAGCAAACCATCTCTGGGTTCAAGTCCCCACTCTAATGACCAGCTCTGTAGTCTGAAATACATCATTCCAGTATCTCTGTACTTGATTTTCTTGGTTATTAAGTAAGAACAATGCTGACTTAAAAGCATTCATCTGAAGACTTAATGAAGCACCATTTACAAGGTACTATTAAGCACTTTTTGAGTTCCTACAAGGCTACATATGAGGAATCCTGTCTCAACACATTGATTCCAGCTTCTCAGATATACATATTGTTAGACTGAGAGGTCTTTTAATGGGAAAATCCCTAATTCTTTTTAAAAAATATTTTATTTATTATTTTTAGTTTTTTAGTGTGTATGAGTATATTGCCTGCATGTATGTGAGTGCACCCATGTCTTGCAATGCTGTGGAGGTCAGAAGAAGCTTCGGATTCCCCTAGAACTGGAGTTAAGGATGGTTCATAGCTGCCATGTGGGTGCTGGGAATCAAACCCAGGTCCTCTGCAAGAGCAGTCAGTGCTCTTAACTGCTGAGCCATCTCTCCAGTCTCCCTAACTCTTACTGTATGCAAGTATACAACAAAAACCACGGAACAGGACCACTCTGTAGGTAGAAAACAGCAGTTTATTTGGGAACAAACTGCTTGGCTGTCTCTTGGAAGCAGAGAACAGCAGCCAGCAGCTATACACCAAGAGTTTTTATTAAAAGTTGAGTGAAGTGGGGGAAGTGGGTGCACAGGCCAGAATAGCCTGATCACAGGAACATCTGGAAGAGATACCAAGAAGCCAAGGGAGGGGCCAGATTTGTTTTTTTTTTTTTTTTTTTTTTTAATTCTCCTGGTAGAGGCCTGTACCTCTTAGAGCACTGGCTGCTGTGCTGCCATTTTAGGAACCTAACATTCCAGCCTTTTGTTGATG